ATAAATAATATATGAAATTCAACAACAAGATGAGATACAAAAATGAAAAACATATTCACCGAATCATATAAAAAATTAATTTCCATCAAAAAATGGAGTTAATCCATTTTTTTTATTATTAAGTATAAAATAAAAATAAAAGCAAAAAGCAAGTGAAAACAGAAAAAAAATCCGCCGAAGCTCGTATCCGATTTTTTGCAATGGTATTGTACCAAAAGTATGTTATAATATTCGCAAATTTTGTATCGTGTTGTGTCGAAACCGCATGTTTGTTTAGCAAGTATCGTGTTATACGACGAACTATATATTGTTCTCAAATGAAGGCTTAATTTGCCCAAGAAAAGAAGTCTTATGTGGGAAGGGATCAGCAAAAATAGACGAAACGCGCAAGTGGGGTAAAGTTTTTAATATAGACAAGCATATGATCTATATGATCTAAGTTATTCGGTCGCCTTTAAATATTTCTACGACTTTGTAAATTTATTTACAAAATATATAGACAATATACGTAAACAAGTAGCTAGTAGCGAGCTATAATCGGGCTAGGCAGACCGTTCAATAACCTGCATAATTTCGCTTAACTAACTAATAATACATCAGATATTATAGAGTTATTATTATGTAAACGCATCATTTTCATATAAAGCGCGCCCCCATATTGGAGGATAGTCGAACGTCAACGTGGCCTCGTCGTCGATAAGATTGAATATTATTATGAGTGAATTTTCATCAACAAGTATTGAAAATTAACCTTTTTTACTGTATGAAGATTCAATTTCCATGGAAACCGTTATATGACGAGATGTTCAAAAAATTGACCCTTCGATCATTTTCGAATTCCGAAATACTATCACTAAGCAATTTTTCTCGTGATATGCGAAAAATTACATTATTTTGTCTTATAACGACTTATCAAGATAAGTCAGACATTATATTGGGAAGTGGATAAAAAACTGATCCGATCTGAAATATTTTTAATGGCTTTCGTTTTGGGCACAAAACACGTCACCGTATCAAATTTCATTAAAATATTTTCAAAATATTAACCTGTAGTAGACCCCGACCAGAAAATGATTCTGAGCGAATCGGTGCAATAAAATACGGATTTGTCTCAAGTCGCTCTCTATATTACAACCACATACATGTACATAAACTTAATATACCCTGTACCGCAGGTGCTGTATGCCATAATGAAATGGATATTCGGCATTACTTGTCGTCACACCAACTATTTAAGTATGAATTTCATTGGTTTACAAAGTGCTGCCAAATCATTAAAAAAAAAAATGAATTGCTGCAGCAAACAAAAAAAAATTCGTATTTTTTCTTCTTCTTTTTGTTTTTGGCAAAAGGCATTTTGAATGCGGCGTTCAGATCATTTTCAATGACTCACAACGTCATGGTACATATGGAACAAATGTGGAAGTGTCGTATCCGTTGCTGCCCTGTTTGACGCAGTGCAAACTATTTGATCGATCCTCTGCATCAGCATAATATTTCCCTTTCGTTGACAAAGCATATTTTATGTTTACAATTATTAAAGCAGAGGGTTATCAATATGTTTAATACTTTACATATATATATATATCAGGAATGGGGAACCATTTTCTCTTTGCATGAGATCATCATATATTTTGGAAAATGCATGTGATCATTATCGATATTAGGATCTCTACTACTAATCAACGTTACTTGTTGTGCACGTAAAGAGTTTATGTCAAGAAGCAGAGGAGATTTTTCCCGTTTTGACTTCTTTGCTCAACACTATATATTTATTTATAACTTTATTCATTTACGTTTCTCTCGATGATGATATTTCTCTGTTTGGTTTTCAGCATTTTAACTGACTACTAATTAACTATCTAAAGTATTCTTATCAACTCTTTAAGGGTGCAATCTTTACTTTAGAGCCACCAGAGTAGATGCTTTGATTATTATTTGCAACAATGTGCTGTGTGGCAAGTACTTGATTAGCCTGCGTTTTAAATATTCAATACCCTATCTTGTTAGCAGTGTTGCGGATAACTCCTCTCATTGACCGAAAATGTTACACCTCGTATTTACAGTTTATTGGCGATACTCTGCGATACTCTTGTTATCATCATACCTCAAATACGTTGTGTATTGCGTGCGTGTGATTGCACGATTTCATACAAGAATCAAGAATGTTTAAGACAGTGAAAATAATTTGGAGCCTATTATTAGCTAAGACTTGGTTAGATTAAAAACGCGAGTCATCTAAAACGCATTAAATTCGATTTCTGATTAATTCTAAACATACACACAAAACGTAAATGTAATATGAGATGTGCGCAAGAGAGAGAGAGAGAGAGAGAGAGAGACGACAGTGCTCGTTCATTTATTTATTTCTAAACATTTGATAAAAAATTTTATTTTCGCTAAGCTTTGCGACGACCTAATTGTTTAGTTTAGTTGACAACTGGTAGTGCGCTGTAAATATGCAAATAAATTAATTAAAGTTTTCGCTATAACGTGCGAACATATACAACAGTAACAACACACACACGCATACGTACACACACAAAATTATATACATATATGTGTATGTTTTTCTTGTGGCAGCGCACTGCCAACTTGTGGCCCTACATTGGGATCAAAGCGATCCCGTTATATATATCTGTATATGCTCATGATTGCGCGGATAACTATATATATATATATATAATTTTGTGTGTGTATGTAGGGGTGGACCACGCCATCCCAGAATCACTTTCGCATTACCTCGATTGATCGTTACAGATTCTTGATCCTCCCTATATCATCCTGCCTCCCCCGTTCTTTTTCCCGAGATTACGGGTTCGGATGTTGCCTACGCTTCGTTGTCTTATGTCGATAACAGGACGTGTATACATACATATAACAATACAATAACAATACATATAACAATATATATAACAATATATATATATATATATATGTATGTGTGTGTAGTTCCATGCATATATGTTTATGTATATATATATATAAATATATAAAATCTTTTAACAACGATAACCAAAGGTTATGTAACCTATGCATACATGCATGCGTACGCGCGTACCTTTATCCATTTTGTTCATAGTCATGTAAAAACTTTTTCCCTTTGCTTTCACTTTCCTCGTCAATCAACACGAATTTGCGAATTCTTGAAAAAAAAAAAAAAAAAAAACCACGTGCACCTAATACTACAATATGCCTTAGGTGATGACAATCGCGTATTTTTAATATACGTGTAGAGGCTGTCAACACCCATTATAAGCAATAATTTCATTTTTATATATACTTCGTGATACATATTCGTTTGATAAGATAATTTGTCGGTCATGCAAATGAAATGCATATCGAAAGAAGAGAACCGAATATATATATTAATTTTCTACCCCTTTAAACGATACCAACATTTTCTAACTAATGTTTCTTCATGTTCAGCAGCTTCCTTCTTTACCAATAGCATTTCTATTTGCTCTGGTGAACACACACAACATAATGTTATGAAAAGCGTAAATTTCTTGAACGTGACCATCTTTTTTATACTTGAGCTCGAAACTAATCTAATTATCTTTTTGTATAGTCCTTTTTATGCAACATATTCACTTTAACATTTTATACAATTACCATAATTCAAATTTTTTTTTTTTTTTTTTTTTTTTAATCAATTTTATCAAGTCCCCTCTCTCTTCGTCGTAAATTGTAAATTAATCTTTTCGGAAAAAAAAAGTCAAAAGCAAAGTTCTCTTAAAATGTTAAAATTCCATTTACTTTAGAGGGGAATTTATTATTTAATTAATTACGCCTTGCCTTGTCTTGCCTTAGCCTTTATTCATCTCACCGATTACTAGTATTGTTTATAAGAAAGTTTCATCTAATCTTGGGTAACCTATGGCATTTTATGCCTAAGAATCTTTTCTACTATAATAATGATGTTTCCGACACTGCTTTAAATGTGTACCGATAACGGTGCACTCGATATTAATTACAGAAAACTTTATAAATTTACTAAGCGTAAGTATCGGAAACCGTACAGGTGGCATATAAACGATATCTGCATATAAGCAGCCTGATGGAGATCGTGTCTTTACATCCTGTCAAAATTCATGCGACTACGGTAACATGTGACTGTTTAAGTCGACATCTATCTCCCTTTCTCTTTGTTAAATTATGTAGAATAATTTGCGGATATTTCAAAGCATTCCTCCATTCTATAATGGCCTCGTAACACATTTATGTAATATTATAATCTTGTCTCATGCATCCAAATGCAGATTCGAGTAGAATTGGAATGTTTTCTAAATACTTACAAATTTCTAGTAAAGTCCCTGCCGATCTTGCTATTCGGTATGTCTCGATTGTGTTCTTTATTGTTTTTCAGCATATTTTTAAATCCTCTAAAATGTTTTGTAGATTTATATAAAGTCGTTGTCGTAAAAGAGGTCCTTCTAAATTAATATAAAACATCGGTCCAAAAAATGTAGTTGTAATAGATCGATGGATGGCAGAGAGTCGCGGACCCCTCTGTGCATAAGTAACAACTTATCCATATATGTTCAAATTAGTTGCATCAAGTGTACAATGAATGTGAACCCAGAAATTCCCGTAAATATAAAATGTAATCGTTATTTATTTATTTTTTTTTTTGTTTTGTCGGTGCAGTAATGCAGTCGAAAAGATAGTAAAAAAGGAAATGAACGATTATTAAATATTTTTTTCCATTACATTCATTGTTTCGCATTTCTTCTTGTTTTTATTATCCCCACAAAATTGTTTACGAACCGAATGCTTAAGCAGAAATAGAAAAAATAAGTATATGTATGATGTTCATTATCATCATACATATATATATATATATATATATATATGACTCATATTATTGCACACTTATATATATTATATGATATATATAATAAAAATGAATAGGTAAAAGTTAGTAGCATTGCATCTATTGACGTTATTCGCTTTTACTTATTCTTTTCGTTTTCTTTCGTTTTTGTGTTTATTTATAGAATGTCGCCAGACAATCCTACACAATTATTAAGGACTCATGATTTGAGGCAATTGCGTACCTTACCAAGTGTGACAACCGCCACTGTGGTGGCAACAGCCACCGCCGCCGCCGCCGCTGCTGCTGCTTCTATTGCATCTAATACTACTGCAAATGGTATAAGAGGTGTACCGCCATCGCTCTCGAGTAATGCAACTATATTTTCTACGTCGAACAATGTAACGAATAACGGTAGTCATAGCAATAATAACAACAATAGTAATTCGTCTTCAATAAATAATAATAATAATAATAATAATAATAATAATAATACTGCAACAGCAAGCCAGCATCATTTAAGTAATCTATTGGCGGCAGCCAATAACAAGGTTAACAACGCAAATCAGAACTTGAATCATAATTCAACGACGAATAATAATAATAATTTCAACGGTTCAGTTGCGTTTGCCAGCGCCAATACCAATACCGTAACTAGCGCAATGCCGTCCACTTCCAAGTACGTGTTGCTACAACAAAATCGAAATGGTTTATTTACACCATATGAGGGCACAGCCAGTACGGGCTTTCCTCACAGTGCAGCAAGTACGAATGGTTTGTTAAACGCTGTAAATGCATCGCCGGCTGGCAGTATAGTAGTCTTGGCTACTGAACCAGTGGATATACATCATAATAGTGGCAATAATGAATCGCAAATGAATACTGGCACTACTTCGGCAACAATTGCGGACAATGATGAAGAATTGAGATCATTGGCTTGGTTAAATAATTCAAATTTAATTAAGGAAATTGTTACCACTACTACTACAGCAAATAATGTGGCCGGTTTAGTTAATAAACGCGCAATAATTAATAATAATAGCAATAGCCAAAATAATATTTGTATCGTAAGTGCCTCCAATGCCGCTAATAATGCGAAAGCTCACGATTTGATAGAAGAACTGCCGCATCAAGTTGTTAATGAGGAGCAAGTTATAGCAACCACTTCAGTTATCCCTAGCGAATTACCCAACGATACCCAAATCACTACATTAAGTGTTAGTGATTTTCAGCAGCAATTTAAACGTTTCAGTGCTTCAGACCTAAAAGATCAGTCCATCTCTCATGTTTACGGTAATTTGGCTGCATTAGGGGCCGCCACTATGTACGTCGGTCCTAGCGGTACAACCACGGTGGTCGAGTATAAGGCTGGCACAACATTTTTACCCGCACGGCAACTTTTAAATGGTGCTGCAACCAATAGCAACGCTTCGATGAACTCTACCTCCATTGTAAATGCCAACGGTAGTAATAACAATACAAACTCTTCCTTTGTGCCTTCTTCGTCTACTACAAACCATAACAATACGGTACTAGTAACAACCAATACTACTAATACGGGGTCCAAACAACTGACGCTAACTAATAATACTTCAATAGTTGCCAATGGCAATTTGGGCCGCAACAGCAACAGTAGCAGCAGCAGCAATAATAACAACAATACTAATAACACAATTTATCAAGGCCACAGCAATAACAATAACAATAATAATAATAACAACAACAATAATAATAATAATAATAATAATAATAATAACAATAAACAGTTACAAAATGGAGCAAACAATGCAACTAACAATAGTCACAATGGTAATAATAACACCAATACCACGACCAGTTCCATAAATAATGGCAGCAGTAGCGCCAGCAGCACGACTCATCATCCTCACAAAAAGTATTTACGTGAGAAAATGAATGTGTTAGATCAGGGTGGTGGCGGAAATGCTTCTTCTTTATCCTCTTCTTCTAATTTACAAGTAACCACCAACCCTTCAATGCCTACTCAAACTCTTTCGGTAACATCTTGTACAACGTCTTTGGTATCAGTAGGTTCCACCATTACTGTGGTATCGTCGCCCGCCTCTTCAAATTCATCGTTATCTACAGCGGCAGTAAATGGTGGCAATAGTCCCCCCTTAAGTAAAGTCGGCAGTAATGCAGCCACTTCATTTTTTGCTTTGAGTGGCAATCAAGCACCGATAGCCTTAAACTATACCAATACGGGACAGGTGACGGCGGCTTCTTTCTTGGCTGTGTCTTCAGCGAACAACTCTTCCCCCCTCTCTTTAACGGCCGATGGTCATTCGAATTCAATAACAAGCAATCAAATACCAGCCGGCTACACATTAGTTAATCATCCCGTGGCCGCACAACATGTATCATCATCAGCAGTCACTACCGCCACAACAGCAACAACAACGGTTTCAATGCCTTTACAACAAGTGTTGGTGTAAGTTTAAAAGTTTAAAATTTACGAAATAATTGCAAATATTTCTTATTTCATTTCGTTTCGTTTTAAATAGAACTGCTACCTCTTTAATGGCTTCGCAGGAGATACAACAAACACCTTCTATTCAGCATACTACCAAAGAATATTATACGCTCAGTACCCCACAACAACAACAACAACAACAACAGCAGCAGCAGCAGCAGCAACAACAGCAGCAGCAGCAACATCATCATCATCATCAACAACAGCAACAGCAACAGCAACAACAGCATCACCAACAGCAACAATTACAGCAACATCAAATAATGCGCAGTCCTACCTCTTACTCCAGTTATGATAATGATTCCTTAAAAGATTTTGAATTGTCACAAAGCAGAGTCAGCAATTCAACGCCGCATCAACAGCCAAGTCCACTAACACCTAGCAAACATAATCACAATAGCCAACAGTCACAGATGGCCAATACATCACAGAAACAAAAACATCCCAATAATGTGCCATATGATCCGTTGCTGCATACCCATAGCAAACCTCCATATAGTTTCAGGTGAATTTTTAAATAATTACTTGAAATCATTTGCTCAATTGTTGCTCCAAAGGTTATCAAATATTTGAATTCTGTGAACATTCATAGAGCACAAACCTTCAGCCTAATTTCTATTATAAGCGACTTATATTTTTTATTTTTTTTTTGCGCAAAATTTCTTCATTCTCAAATATTTCTTCATTCGTATATTTCCCTTATTTATTTATTCTTTTCCTTCAAGTTCCTTGATATTTATGGCCATAGAAGGTTCTCAGGAAAAGGCATTGCCTGTGAAGGAAATCTACGCCTGGATAGTACAGCATTTCCCTTATTTTAAAACTGCTCCTACTGGTTGGAAGAATAGTGTACGCCATAATTTATCATTAAATAAAAGTTTTGTTAAAGTAGAAAAAGCTCCGGTAAGTATCCGTTTAATCTTTGCATTAATAAGTAATGAAGTAATAAATAAATAATTATTTTGTTTTTTCAGAATATGGGCAAAGGTTCTCTATGGCGTGTTGAGCAGCAGCAACGGCAGAATCTTATACAAGCTTTAAATCGTTCGCCATTCTTCCAAAATTCAGCGACTGTTGATAAAGTTAGCGTTAAGAGTCCTGGTAACACTTCAATACCGACAGTGGACTCTTACGATGTCATTGATGGCGGTTGTAAATCCTTAAATACATCCAACGCATCCTCATCTCATATCAATTCGCGCTTTGATCCGAATCTATTTCCAAATCTTTCAAAAGCTTTTAAAGATATTAGCGATGTAGTACCCGATGTACCCGATGATGAATATCCGTCCGATTATAGTACAACAATTAAATCACAAAATCAAAACAATACAACAACTAAATATAGCTACAGTTCTAACAATCATCCCCAACAGAATGGTAATGTCATTAATGCCGGTCAAGTGTCGTCAACTATCGCACCCGGCTCCGTAATGGCCACATTTAGCAATTACGAGAGTATGGAACGCTTGGCTAGAGACTGCGGTGCGGAGAGTATAGATGACGTTAATGCTGCTACTGCTATGTTAGCACTTAAACATGGACCAAAAGTTTTCTCCGGAACCTTTCAAAATGGGTAAATTAAATTTCACACTTAAAAAAAAAAAAAAAAAAAAAAAAAAAAAAAAAAAAAAAAAAAAAAAACTGAATTCACTAAACGTCAATTTCATTCATTAACGTTTCAGTGCTCCAGTTATTACTTCTTCCCCTAGCGAGGATCATACTTATTCTGCTGGTGGCGGTGGAGTTGGCGGTGGAAGTAGTAGTGGTCCTGGCAGTGGTACCTCCACACCTCTTATTAATGGTTCTAGTTCACTAATTGTAAATGGGAGCGTGCACGCTCTAGGCTCAGGCTGTGTAGATAATCAAAGTAACTGTGCCTCTTCAGATGCTGCCTACGAAAGTAGTGAAGAGTGGTAAGTAGCCAAACAAACTTAAATATCCCATCATTTTTTTTTTTTTTTTTTTTTTTTTTTTACGCAAATAAATCCTTTGCGGACTTTTTGCAAGACTTACAAATATCTTGGTATGTAATGATAGAAGTGTAAAGTCTACGTCGTTCCCAGGTAATTTCCGTTCGAAAGCTTGATGTAATAGCGTTAAATAGGTAAAGTTCTTATTTTAATGTAATTAATTTGTCAAGTTTTTGATCGACTTGCGCGATAGGATCATTTACTTGTAATATAGTAAATAATTTCTTCCCTCCTATTATTGAAGGAAATCATCGATTTAATTAATTTCAGTATTTATTACTAATAAAGTCTTTCAAAAGCACTTGTGCTGCCTAATATTGACAATATTGAATGGAAGTTGCCATCGATTAAGGGAAATAGGCAGAATTGAGTCATTCACACTGCAATATATTGGATTAGCCATTTTGTGTATTTGTGTATGCACTCGAAAGTCAAGAATTGCATGTAAAAGGAAAGCCTGAATTCCAGCCAGATTTTCCCACTGTCATTACTAAATTGGTTCTTTCAACACGTATGATTTGTTCAGTAATCATTGATTGGTGATGGCTTTGGGAAATGTAATTTTCTTATTATATTATATGTGAATATAAAAATTAATACTGTTTTGTTATGAAATTTTTTTCTATAGTCATAATATAACGCCCGAAGAACTTGAGGATCAGCAACGCCATCGTGACGGTGTGGATGCTTTACTTTCACTATCACTTTCGTCGGGCATCGACACCGGTTCGAATACAACCCAAAGCAGTCAAAATTCTAGCCTTAACTCTAACTCACCGAGTAAAAGACCACCTTCCACCAGTGTTGAAGAAGAACACATATCCACAATGGACAACAATAGTAACTATCACCTCATACAACCGCATAATATAAGTAAAATGGCATTGCTAAGTACAGCAGCCAATGTCGCCTTTGCTGCAGTTAATGGCAACAACGGTTCAGGACGAAACGCGAACCCGACACATAGTACAATGCTTGATGAAGGCTTTAATGCTCAAGGTTATTATAGCAATCAAAATAATAACAATACCGGTAATGGTATTGTAACTAATGGTAATTATCATCACGGTGTGGGTAATGGAAATATGAGCGGCAGCTTACATCATCATTATCAAAATCACAGCCATCATAATCATAACAACAGCTACAGTTTACATTCTACGGCGACAACCGGTGGCAATAAGAAACCAAAACCATTACGCAGTTTGCGTACCAAAATTAAACGTAAGGCGCCTTGGATGAGGTGAGCTTGGTAAAAATTGTACATTTAACTAAAGCGAAACATATTTCATACATATTTTTAGTGTTTTACATGCCACAAATTGATTGACAGATAAAGTATTTCCATCCAAAACTATGTCCTCCTATACACTCGCTCGCCCTAAGCTATTCAAACGCCCTCACCTTTTACTTTTCCAGCAATAATTCTCGCCTTCAACAATATCACTACCACAATCATCCAAAAGCGCCATACATACGCAATCAATTATCAATGAACTTAACTTTTCTGCCACAAATCCTCCTCCCAAATGAAATTTTCCTTGTATAGGCGCGAACATCAATTTTTACTCCCAAAGAGGATACATTACGTTAACATGTTTAAAGACATTATCAACATAATATATGTTACGCATATACATATAGGCTATAGAGAAAGAAAGACCGATGTGAAAAAACTATAGATTGGGGAAAAGAGGGAGAAAGAGAAAGATGTCTATATATATGTTATATCCTAGTGACTTAAGAAATTTAGTGGAAATTTGTTATTAATTATCTTAAATTTAATTAATAAGTGTTTACATTTTTTTTTTTTTTAATATATATATATATTTTTTTCTTTTTTTTTTTCCTTTTGCTAATACATACACCCGCATGTATAAACATACATGTGTGTTTATGTATAACAAATTTAAATCCAACATAAAATTGCATATAGAATATTTAATATATAAAGAAAATAATAAAAAATTTAAATATTACAAGAAGTAGACTTTAAGAAGAAGACACGTAATGCGCATAAAACCAAAAACATATAACCTGCATACATATGTACAAGATACGTATATATATATACATAAATATGTACGTACATACATACGTATATACGTGCGTATAGTATGATCTAGTAGCACACAAACACAATATACATAAACACACATATACTTATTAACTTAACGCCTTATTGATGTCTACAGTTAAGTGACTATAATGAAAAACAACCATTAAAATAAATAAAAATTAACAAATGTGCTCAGCGTCCTTAAACAACAACAACAACAACAACAACAAAAACCAGTCTTAGTTTAAAATACATTTTTAATATTATCTATTTTTAATATTATTTGTAATGGTTAATATATTTGTTTGAACATTAATTGCAATATAAAAATTATTTTAAAAAGTAATTATTATTATGTTATAAATTTAAAATAAAATATTAATTTTTGTTAATGCATTCGTGCATAAAAAAACCCTAAAATTACGTTTTAGCAAATTGAAAAAAAAAAAAAAAAAAAAAAAAAAATTAAAACAAGCCTGAAGCTATGCTTTAAAATATTCATAAATTAATCCTCCAATAATTGGTAACTGATTCAAAACAAGAGAATCGATACTGAAAATTAAAATTGCACCGACTTCCGAGTGTCATTTTATATATAAATGTCTGATAGAGGCGCAGGGTAACTTTGTCCTTCCGTTTCTGATGTCCACGAATACGCATCACGGACCTCTATAAAATTTATGCTTTCATCACTAGCACAATATTCTGAATTAATGACTTTCCTTCTTTGAAAACCTACTTTAGATTACTTATTTTCTTCTTCTTTCTGAAATATTCAAACTTGATTAAACATATCACGATATCATCATCATCATTTGTATTTGTAATCTGCTCGTTCTTGACAAATTTGCAATTGAAGGTCATAGTTAGTTAACTTTGTCCAGAAACGTGACCATCTATCTGCCAACCTAAGTTCAGGAATTTAACACACAATTCATATAAGAGATTTTGATACTTGAATACCTGACAGACTTACTTAACAAGTGAGTGAAAAAATACTTTTGTTCCGGTAACTAACACATCCCAAAGTATTTTCACAATTTTGTATTTTGGATTAAGGTTTCATTGTTTTAATATTCCGCAAAATTAGTTATAACGAGTTTGGGTGAATCTAAGCAACACTAGAGTCATCTTTGAATTCAGAATTATTCTCTCAACCGATTTTCCGTATATCTGTCTGTTGATGTCGATCCGTGCATTTTTTTTGCTCAATTTTTGAGATTTGGATCGCCTATCTCGATGATGAAGTCGTTATGCGGACAAAATTTTGCATTTTTAATATAGTTTCTCCACAAGAATGAGTGAAACACCATATATTGTGACATATTAAAGCACTCTTAGAGAGGTTTAATTTCTTAGATGACAATTGGTACCTAACATATTTATTTTGATGTAAAAATTTTGTTCGCAAATGTTGTTTGGACTGTGTAGGTCTATTTTTTTAAACTTCTCAACATATAAGAGTTCCCATGAAACTAAGGCTTCATATATGGTTGCAAGTTATAAATTGTAGTATATTATGATGAAAATAGTTGAGGGAAGGTCTTCGGGGGACCGAATTGTCCAGGTTTTAATTCTTTCTTTTTTTTTATTATGCGACCTATTAAATGTTAATGCTTGTTGCGAGGGCTCGTAAGGTGTTTCCAAGTCAAAATGCATTCTCCTTTGACTTTATTCACTTGAATTACAATATTATATAGATATTGCAAGTTTTGCTCCCTTTTCCCTGTGTCGATGCAAAAACCGAATTTCTCTCAAATTTCATTTATTGTATTTTAATAATTTAATTATGAGTTTTCTGACAATCATTTATCTTAAAACTTTCAATTTGACATGACTTAAATTCCACGTGAGTTACAGATAAAATTTTTGAATTAAACTACACTTTGCTTTTTTGCCATTTTAAATTTTTTTTAAAACATATCAATTTTTTTTTTTTTTTTAGTAAATATTACTTTTTATTATATCTTTGTTTTTTATCATCTTAAATGTTATGTTAAATATTTGATAGTGATATCCATGAAGATTTCATGGATGATTCAAAAACTTTCTGTTTTGAAAAAGAACTCCGGCAATTATTTTATTCCATCCGAGCGAGCGTTCAAAGGTGTAACGAAAATTTATTTCAATTATTTGATTTGTTTTTCATAAATAAATTCGAGCAACTGGTACGAATGATGTGCTTTGGTACTTTGCATTGTTCTTCCAAATAATGTATCCAGTGTCAATGAGAGAAGTTTAAACATATTTTCTGCATAATTTTTGAACAATTTTAATTGCATATTCTTATGATTGCAAATATAAGAAAAATTTTGGCACACTTTTGGGCTTTACATCTGGTGTTAAGATAAACAGTATTAAGGGAGTGTCTTATCTGTCATTGCTTATGTAATACTTAAAATTGATTTTTTTTTTTTTTGTTTAATTTACTAGCTATATGGTTTTGTTTGTTTGTCTGTTGGGATAATGCAACAAATGTTGCAAGCATTATATTGAAGTTTATGTGATATGTTTCAAGATTTTGAATTGGTTGGCTTTTACTGCGACACTGCCATTGTTAACTTGACCGAGCTAATTAAAATGTTCATGTTCTGTCATGAAGCCTACCCCCCTCCCCCCCCTCCCATTTTATCCCTTTATACATTAAAATTGAAAGTTCCAATTTTTCAAAATTTTAATAATACTGATGACTAGTAAATGATTTATTTTTGACTTAAATCGGTTTTTTTTTTTAAACAATAGTTTAAATTTTATATCAAAAAAAAGTAAATGAGAAAATATTTATTATTTAAGAATGTGTTCTTAAGGGAAATAAAAAAAAATTACACCAGTTATAAATAAGTTTTAAACTAAACAACCGAAACAAAAAAAATGAAAATATTTCAAAAAAAATTATTCGGTATTCAAGCCTTCTTTAAGTTACGAGCTTTGTAGAAACACTCGCTATTAAAAAAAAAAAAAAAAGAAAAAGAAAAACATGTATACACATATACACATAATAAAAGAAAATAAGAATAATAAAAAAAATTCTCAAAAAAAAGAAAATATTTCCAAAATCGAAAAGTTTCACAACTTGTACCTTTTAAAGCAAAAATCGTTGAAAAAGCAACAAAAACAAAAAGCTTAAACAAATAAATTGCAAAAAAAAAAAAAAATTCATGAAAATATATATATTCATTTACATAAAAAATAATAAACATTCTAAAGTGCTGTCATGTTAACAGCAAAAAATATGACAACTGCTTATAATTACAACTTCAATATATAAGTAATTGATCTTTTCCTACATTACATTATTTTCGCTTATTGTGTTCGATTACTTTCTAAAAATGTTGTAGATTTTCTCAATTTAACAGTCAACTATTCAGTTATATATATATATTTTTAAACATTTAAAGGGGGGAAACAATTTTTATTTATTTATTTTTTTCTCTCAAATTTAAAATATTTCGTTTTTATCTAGCAAGTGTTATGTTGTCGAAAAGTTTCTCATATTTTGTATATTTTCAGCTATCAAGCTTATAGCAAATTGAATAGTTTTTAAAAATGAATTTCAAAAATATTAAAAAGAAAAAAAAAAAAATTGTATTTATTTTACTTGAATTCACCCGCATTTACATGCGGTATTTGCTTGTAAAATTCGAGCGAGATTTGATACTTTCGAGATATATGCCATATCACGTAGTATGTGGTATATATTGTGTACATAGAAAATATTATTATTATTTATTTTTTTTTTTTGCCTTAATCGTAGCTACAGTGAGTGACTACTCAGCATGAAGGCTTAACACTTACCGAATCGACACACATTCACTAGACTGGCGACGGCCACTACATGTCCCTGTCTCTTTCTCTTTCCCCGTGTCTTTTCCAATTCTTCCCCTTTCTTTTTATTTTTTGCTTTTATTTTATTTTTTAATTTAACGTTACTACGAATCGATCCATTTTACTGACTTATTAATTAAACATAACTTTCAGGCAAAGTTGAAAAACTCTGAAATCATAACCACGATTTCGGAGGGTAAAGAGACATCTACAACTTAGTGCCCATATTCATGTTGATCAAGAAAATACGGTAATCTTCTCTATAACGCGGTCACCTTATAACGGGTTTTTTTATTATGCGATTTCATGCCCTTCGTATAACGTGTGTTTTCCCCCATATAATGCGGGGACATCCAACCTTATATTTCTGTACTATGACTGTTTTTTATTTACATATGTATAAGTTTTAATATATAAAATGTTTTTAGTTTGATTATAGTTTTTCGTTAATATTCAATTTAAATGCTCTTTAACGAGGAAAATTCAATGCGGGAATCATTTGTACGTAACACGTTATACGGGGTCATACGAGCGCGTACAGTGTGCTTCTCTATAACGCGGAACTAATCTACCGTGTTATAGGGAGTATTGCTGTATATATATATATGTATGAATAGTCTCAGGTGTTTACAAAATTTACTATACCTCTTCTTGGCGGGCACGAACAACCTCGTGAATTTGAATATTTCTGAATTGCATAACAAATGATTATTTTATTTAAGATATTAGAAATTTGGATAAGAAAATATATTACCAGAATTATTAAAAATAAAATAAATTTCTTGATTAAACCTCAAGGTTAATGTGATGTCCTTTCAAATAGCTTCTAATAACTTCCGGGCAAGGACTTATGCATCGAGCCATAGGTGGCCGTCGTCGCTCTTAGTTAAGTTTTTCGCAAGACAATGATAAGATTTAAAGAAGTGAAAACATTGCAGTTGAATATGTCGTATTCTTGAATACCCTACCTCCGCATTGCTTAATACAGTGATCCATATGACGAATTTTCCGTTCTGAATCATTTTCAATAGCGTTCGTCCTTGGGCCAAAACATGCCCACGTACCGAATTTCATTAAAATATATCAAAAATTACGACAAGTAAGTTGGAAACAAAAAATACGTGGGCAGAGAGGCAGAAAAACAAGTTTAGAAAGGTTTAGATTTCATTTTAATAAATGACTCTGAATCGATCATATCGGATCCGAGTCACTTTCTGAATCGATCGATATAATAAAAGGTGGGTGCAGTAGGATATAAACAGAATATAAAACCAATTCCCATCAGCCAAAATTTCCTAAATTGATTCACAAAATGTTAATACACTAATCTGTCATTTAGGGTCGATGTTGTTTTCAGTTTATAATCGATTTAGGATCATATACTTGAATTTTCGACATTTTTAGCTCAACGCCCAAAAAAAACTTTACATTTTTATTTACAGTAAAAGGAAAATTCTCAACTCGGCCCAACTAAATCTATCATGTCAAAAGCTATCATCATTTTTTTTTTGTCAAAATCCATTAAATGAATATTTTATTTGAGATTTTTAAACTGAACACAATTCTTGATAAATACAACTGATCTTTCAAATTATGGAACTTAACAAAACCTTCAGCAATAATGCATATTCTGCAAAGAGAAGTTGACTTAAATTGGATTCTAGTACTAAAAGAAGAAAAAAAATTAAATCTTAAAACAATTTCTACTTGTCTCTGACCTTAACCAACGAAGAAGGCCTGATGCTGCGTTACATTTCCATTGAAAATCCTGTCTTTCTTGTTATTATTATTTGTTTTTTTTTTTATAAAGAAAATTTGAAAAATACTTTAAATGTAAATATATCTTCCAAAGCAATCGTTCGATAATGTCTCTAATGTCAAAATCGACGTATAGAGATAGAAATCACACAAAGAATATCATTTACAAATTTGATCACTACATTATGTTATATTCGCTTAAGCGTATAGGGAAAGTTTTTTGAGCCCAGATCAAATTTCGTGATTAACTTTTTTTTTGCAAAGAAATTCTTGAAAATTTTCCCAAACAACTTTAAAAGCTAAATAACAAAACAAATTGTTAGAGATCACGTTGTCTCTTCAAACTGTAGACTATAGACTGGGGCGATATTTACGTGATTGTGATAGAAATGTCATATAACGATAGCTTTGGAAAATATGAAAAGGAAAATTTGCTTCTTCGACAATCTCTTTTGCTATGTATAAATCTTATTGGAATTTAAAGTTAGTTAACCCGTTGACATAAACGACGATACGTCCATTGCGCTTGTAAGTGCAAAAGGCTCCTATAGTGGTCCTTTATTCTCGCAGATTTACAGAACAAGATGTGCAGCTTTTTGCAAGCACTCACTGATTTTAAAGAGAACGCCACAAGAAGAAATATCGTCGAATATTAGCATGAGAGAAGCACAAAAACGGCGACTTAAGGCCAGACTTATATCATTTAACTTCGATATTCAAGCGGTTTACACTTGAGAACTTCTGACTTCATGTTTTTTTTTCTTTATACATATTGTTCTCAATTATACAAAATTTTAAAACAATTTAAAAAACAAAACAAATTCAATAACAAAATATCCAAAAAATATATGTTAAATGATAATGAAAACAAAGAAGAAAAATTACAAAATATTAAAAGAATTGTACTCTAAATGAAATATGAAAAAGTGCCTATAAACATATATAAATACTTACACTTGTAATATATATATACATATATATATGTATATAAATGTATATGTATATATATATATTATGTATATGTATATATTATGTATATATATATATATGTATACACATACAGATATGTATAAGTATATATATATATATGTATGATATGTATAAGTATATACATATAGATATATGTATATAGATATATATATATATATATATATATATCTATATATATATACATATGATAATTAATACTGATTTAATTACCAGCAAAATGCTATCTCCACTAAGAAAAACAAAAAAAAAAAAAACAACTTATAATAGCGTATAGAGCATAATTATTAAAGGAAAAAGAAAATTAAAATACATTTAAAACAAAAACTAAACAATTACCAAAAATTACACATACACACCCAGGCAGAAACATTTAATTTAATTATATATACATATAAACGCGGACTACATATATAGATATATTAAATTAATATTTAATAAAAAAGAATTATTATTACTGTTATTATTATGATAAAAGTTATTTTTATTATGTTTATCTTTACATATAAAGAAGAAAAAAAAAAAAAAAAAAAAAAA